TGTTCACTTCATCGATGTCCCAAAGTATGACAACTGATTGCAAGGTGGCAAATCTTAACGCCATCAAGCGACCAATACCACTGCCGGCACCGGTGATCAAGACGATTTCGCCAGCAACGTCTTTGCGGGGCTTACAAAATGGTAAAACAAGGTACACGAACGACACGGCGAAATGCCATAAGCAATTCCATGTCACTTGCAGGCATTCCCATAACAAATTCGACATAGTTGAGCCGCTGACCTAACCTTGGCAAAAGAGAGCTACTTCTTTGACCCCTTGTCAACCAGTGACCAATCGACCTTTGATTTTAATAGTGCGCCCGCAAGGTTATTGTCGAGTGTACCTGTACTTATCAAGGACGTGATGTTCGCTGGTTCCCGGCCAATCTCCCTGGCAGGGTTCTATTTACGAATATATATGCTTTCGGTGATCCACAGTCCCTCAACACCGACTGTGGGTGATCTAACCGCAAGGAGCTCTGGGAAGGAGAATGGTTCCCGGGGTGACCACCGAACTCGGCCAGATTACTACTCGGCCAGTGACCGATCACGGCCAGTGACCGTACTCGGCCTGCATATATGTTAATGAGTTGTCAAAGGGTGTCGATCTCAGTGATGCTACAGCGAGCGCTGTATTACAGATTGCCAGAGTCATATCACAATAAAATGTAAAGGGTGTTGATTTCAGTGATGCCCATCGTGCTTTGTTAATAAAAAAAAGGGTTGTCGATTTCAGTGACCCAACAGCGAGCGCTGTATTACAGACTGCCAGAGTCATATCACAATAAAATATAAAAAAATGTACGGGCGTCAAAGGGTGTCGATTTCAGTGATGCTTATCTTGTGAATAGACGACTTTCCCGGAAGTCGAAGAAATTGGGGTGTAACATAAACTTGCACGCGTGATATTGTGCTTCTGGATGTACCAATTGACGTAACAAAAATAAAATTCCCTTCTACCGACTATCAGCAAATTGACATGTTTGTATTTTCCGCTATGACAAAGCAGGAGTATTTTTGCACCCCAGTATTGTTACTTCCGGGAAAGTGATCTATGACAAGTAGAGCACAGGTTACTAGTCGAACTCCACACAGTTCGATACGCGTTACTTATCATCACTGCACAAAGCAGCTTTGCATAGAACTCATTTGCATATTCGAATATGTTCGAACTACAAGACCCTGTCGGTTAAACAAAGTTATGCGTAAGTCACTTGGTTACTTTAATCACTTTAATAAGACGTTT